CCGGCATTATTTAACAAACAAGGAGTTAGCGTTAGGGACAGGGTTATTATTAGTTATTTTTAGAAATATATTCCTGATAAAATGTTTAGCCTCAAAATGTCGGTGTAATTTATGAAAATGAACTTTATTAGGAATGATGCCCCTATACGTATTACGTAGTACAATGTACAATGATTTTAAAATTGTCTTTTTTTCAACTTTTTTAAATTCGTCACTTAAAAATGACTCAATATCCCCAAACACAAGATGCTAATATACCATCATCCACATCATCAGTTATTCAAACTTCGTCATCTCCACCAAATGCTACTGATGCTCCGCCAAACGTTACTGATACTCCACCAAATGTTACTGATAATTTAAATGTTACAGATACTCGTCAGAGCGTTACAAATACTCCGTCAAACATTCAAGAAACAATCCAAATTACCCAATCAACTCCTCCTCCTCCTTCATATGATCAAGCTATTCTTCACCCTCCAAATATTCAAGAAATTCCACAAAATATACAAGTAAATAATGAAGTTGTTCAACCAATTCAACCAACTTTTTCTCATAACATCCCATCATCTCATCCATATACAAGTCAATATTTCTCTCAACCTTATCAAACTCCTATTGTTGTTGATACTAATAATACTGTTTATGATGGGTCAACTAATAATAATACAACAGTATCTAGAAAGGTAATCATTTCTATTAGAACATTTATAACCATAATATTTATATTCTTGACCATTATCTATTTTCGATATCTTTCTTATGGATTTTATATCGCCCTTCTCATCTCTGTTTTAAGTGTACTTTTTTATATTGTTAGAGTAATTAATGTATATAATAGAGGTCAATTATTTACTGGTAATCTATTTAGTTATGAAGTAACTAAATTAAAAATAGGTTTAAGTGTTTTATCATCTATTTTATTTATTTTATTATCAATAGCCATTGTGACAGCTTTTGGTTTTATTTCTTATAGTTTATTATCTTGGTGTGTTTTTGCTCTTGCTGTATTTTGGGTTATATCTACTATATTTATGTATAATGAATATAGAAGGAATAATATTAATTCTAATCAACCTGGGGATAATGTAATCATGACAAATGCTTATGATAATAATACGATAAATGGGAGTAATAATATGGTTGGGTATGGAAATAATACTATGAGTAGTTATGGGAATAATACATTGAATGGAAATAATAATAATATGGGCGGATATGGAAATAATGCTGTGAGTGGGTATGGGAATAATAATATGGGCGGGGATGGGTACACTGGAACGGGTTATCAAGCTAATAGTGGTTATCGAACTAATGTGGGTAATGGTTATCAAAATGATCCTGCTGCTGCAAATAGTTATGTAATAAGTAGTGTTAATAGTTATGGTCAGAATGAGTATTACGTTATTACATAATATTGCGTCATTTTTATTTTGACAAAATTTATTTTATTTTGATCAGATATATATATATATATATATATTTTTGCGTGTGGAATGGTTGAACTATTACACATGAGAATTAATGGGAAAATATTTAGGCACTTAAATTACTGTAGCTTTCGAATATCTTTTTTTTTTTTTATCATTTAACTGATTTCTATACAAAAGTGGTTGTGTTATTTATTTATTCAATTTTTATTAAATATCAATTTTCTTGAAAATTTATCATTTTGTACAAATTTTTGTTTTATTGGTATAAAAATAAATAAATAATCGAATATACCTAAATTTTACAATCAATCATCAACGTTGATTTCATTCTTTTTAATTATTGATGTTACTAGGTTTTATTCATTACCAGAAATTACGTCATCTCTTTGATAGTATACGTTTATTATAGATAATGTAAAATTGCGAAATAATGCAAACTTTAACATTATTCTGAGCATTTGCGCATTATTTCGAGATAAAAGTCAATTCTTTGTGCATGATTATTATATAATTATGCTGTTACTGTATAACTGGCATTATATAGACGAATGTTATTTTAAAATTAATTGTCATTTTTAAAGGAATCAATTTTCGAAATAATATCCATGTTTGTTTCGTGTTCTTATTAATCAATTATCAAAACAAGTTGAAAGCTATTTAATTTAAGACAATTATGATTTATTAATTATCTCGAAATATGTTTATTAAAGGATTCAACTTTAAAGATGATTTCTAGTTTATAATTAATTTCTCTAGTCTAACCTAATCTTTTCTATTCTACAGGTGTTAATAATCTTACGAAATAATAATGGCATTCGCACTAAAATTTTTATAACTACGATTAATATAATCGAATAATATAATATTCTTGATAATATAATTAATACTGTAATACTTGATGCTGAAAAAAAATCGCCACCCCAAAAAATTTCAATTTATTCAAAGTAAAATTTCATGCTGTTAGGTTAGTGTTGTAAATTTTCAACACAAAATTTTATAAGTCATTTATTATAAATGCTTCCGGGTGAGCTTTTAATAAAATTTTTATACATTTGAATATTTTCTAGGCAAAGAAAAAATTATAAAATTTTTGCGATTCAAAAATTAAAAGCCGGGCAGGCAGGTCACTTTTAGAATTCTATGTTATGAGAAACAATTATTTAATACCAAAATTTTTCAAAGAATTTTTTTTTTTTTAATTAGTACATAGAAGGCAGTTTCATATGTTAAAATTTGAATTTAGAGCGGTTTTTAGATATATATTTTGCTTTTCTTTTACGCTAATCTGACCTTTATTTGATTGGCTAGTAAAATTGTGATTTTACCCCTGTTGCACTCAGGGATCTAATATTCCCTTGTAACAGTGTACGAAATCTGAATGGATGGTATTACAGTTAATACGGTAGCAAAATTTTTTTTTCGAAAAGGGATATGAAATTCGGTTTTCATTTGTGAATCTTAAGCGTCATAATATATCAACACATGCATTTCATATAAAAAATTTGCATAAAAAGTGAATAAATATTCAAAAAATATATTAATTTGGACTGAATGAGTTCTTGCACTTAGAAAAATTTACTGTGAGAGTTACGTTCAATTCAGAATTGAATCATCACAATCGACCTTTCAAAATCATGTCATTATCAGTAATATATAACTTCTAACATTCAAAAACTTTAAAATTTTTAACTTTTAAATCTTTATAGAAGGATTCCATGTTTGGATTTGTAATCTCGATATGTGAAAAAAAATTAAACAAAGCCACATGTACGTACGTATGTACGTGGTAGTACCAGATGCACATATGCAATAATTTTTTTTTTTTTTTAGAGTAGTTAAAAAAAAAAAAGGCTACACAAATATATAAAAATATAGATCTGTGCAAGTGATTTTTATCTGAATTTTAAACACTGGGTAGTACGCACTCTCAACAAATAACTTTCATATCGTGCATCACTCAATGATTGTAAATATTATTTAATTGCTTTTCAAATGAAATGGAATCAGATAGAGAAGGGCAATCTCTAAATATATTTTCAAATAAAGACGTTGCTAAAAACGAGGAAGCACTAGAACAATATTTAAAATATAATGAAAACGTGAATCCTGAAATACAAAACAACATAGGATGGTGTTATCAATACGGAATAGGTATTAACAAAAACGAAAAGAAAGCATTTGAATGGTATTTAAAGGCTGCAGAAGAATGCAGCTTTCGTGGTTGCAACAATCTTGGCTGGTGCTTTGAAAATGGCATAGGTGTTGATAAAGATGAAAATAAGGCTTTTAAATGGTATTTAAGGTCAGCCGAAGGTGGAAATTCTAGTGGACAAAATAATCTTGGGCGCTGCTATGAAAATAAAATAGGTGTTGACAAAGATGAGAATAGAGCATTTAGATGGTTTTTAAAATCAGCCAGAGGTGGCAATCCTAGTGGACAATTTAATCTTGGATTATGCTACAGAAATGGTAAAGGTACACGTCAAAATATGGAAGAGGCTTCGAAATTTTTACGAAGAACAAGAAGTAATCAGCGTCAACATGCAGATTATGAAAATTTAGATATTGAACTTGTTAAATTTTTAGAAAATTCAATGTCTGAAAACAAATATCAATTATTTTGGATTCCATCTAATGAATTAAAAAACAAACAAAAAATTATCGGATCAGCCAGGCTTTCTGCCAAGTATTCTGCCGAATGGACATATTTACATAAAAATGGAGCAAGAACAAAAATGGTTATTCTAAAATTAATTTATGGATCAAAAGACAATTGCAAGCAACTTATGAAAGAGGTAAATATTTAATAATCCCAATACTTTACTTTATGCATATAATTTCGATCAAAAAATTAATAATTTATATTTAAAGCTAAAAGCATTCTACACTGTTGGATGTAAGGATCCTACATATCTTCAATGCTATGGAATAACGAAAGATGAAATGTCTGGTGATTACTGTTTGGTCATTCAATACATACCATTGGGTTCTTTAAAATATAATCTTTCTTCAATTGCACAAATGAAATGGATAGAAAAAGTAAATTTACTATTCTATATAGCTCATGACCTTCAATTGATTCATTCTCTTGACATTATCCATTGCAATGTACATTATAATACTATATTACAGTATGATGTATATAATGCATATATAAGTAGCTTTTCATTATCATTTTCTATCCACGAGTTATCAGAAGTAGAACCAGAGATAATTGGAAATGCTTTTTATGCAGCACCGGAAATAATAATAGAGAGATCAGTTTCTAAGGCATCAGACATTTACTCCTTTGGAATACTTATGTGGCAAATTTCTTCAGGGCAGTCTGTTACTACCGAAAAATTTGGAGCAAATAATGTATATATGTGTATATTAAATACTTATAACGGAATTCGACCAACTATTCGTGAAGGCACAATATCATGTTATGCAGACCTTATGAAAAGATGCTGGGATAATGACCCTACAAAAAGACCATCTATCTCAAAAATATGTAGAATTCTCACTGAATGGAAAAATAATATCGCAGCATTTTATGAATCTGATCCAATCGACTATGATGAAAACAATGAAATTGATTTAATAAACTCCACTGACTTAGATGAAGAACGTTTTGGCAATATTACTGATAAAATAAATGAAGAACTTTTTGGTAATTTAACGTCTTTAATTTGACTTTAAAATAGTAAACGTATATAATAAATGATACTAATGTAGCAAATTTTGTATACTTAGAAAATGCAATTAGGAAGAAATCAAGGTTTATAAATTGGGATGAACTAAGTAATGTTTCAAAACTTGATGAAGGCTACTTTGGTACGTTGAATAAGTCTACATGCAGTACATTATAAATAATAAATAATTACTTCATGTCTTATATTTTTTTTTAGGGTTCATATTCAAAGCTTATTGGAAAAATGCGAGTAGAAATGTCGTTTGTAAGGCATTGATCAACTTGAAAGACATAAACAGTAAATATTATGCTGCATTTATTCATGAATTAACAATGCAGACTAGGGCGGATCTTTGTGAAAATATCGTTCGATTTTTGGGAGTCAGTAAAGGTATTTATTGTTTTATCAATCATTTTATTGAGTATTTAATTGATTAATTAATTGACATTACTTATATGACACGCAGATACTATCAATGACCGATATTTCCTTATAATGGAATATGCAACTGATGGGAATTTACGAATGTTTCTTAAAAGAAATAATCATTCACTGGATTGGCATCAGAGATTAGAGCTGGCCTGTCAGATTAATAAAGGATTACATTATATGCACAGTGAAGATATTATTCATAGAGACTTGGTAAGGTAGCCTAAAATTAAAATCTTTACTATAGTGTTAGATTCGAGCCGGATTTAAAACTTTCGAGTAACAGTTTTTTTAGATTCTGGGACATACTAAAAATTTTCTCGTTTCTCGAAATCTTTTCGACTTCATTTTAAGAATCACCTAAAATTTCGGAAACCAAAGAGATTATGTAAATGAGCGAATTTTTAGTTTGCCCAGAATTTATGAGAATTACCTGAATCCGACCGAAGCTTTCGCGTCAAATAGATCGAATGAACACTTTTCTAATAATATTTTAAATTTAAGTCATTAATGTCAAAAAATTTTTGATTAGCATGATAAGAACATTGTTATTCATGACGGCAAAGCAAAAATAACGGATTTTGGAAATGCCATAAGTATTAACACACAGACAAATATACTTGATGGTCTTTTTGGGATGATTTCTTTTGTAGCTCCTGAATTATTTAATCAAGCCAAATCGGATAAAATATCATACAGCAAGAAAACAGACATCTATAGCCTTAGCATGCTATTTTGGGAATTATCTAGTGGTCGTCCACCATTTGAAAATCAATTAAATAGGATTGAATTAGCTATCAAAGTTGTTCAAGGTGACAGAGAAGATACAAAATATGGAACACATGAATATAGGAATCTTTATATCAAATGCTGGGATGCAGATCCAGATAAACGTCCAGACACTGAAAAAGTGTACAAATTGTTAGAAGAAATAGTGAGCTCTAAGAACTTGCCAGAGATTGACCCTAGTACTATTAATCTTGAAGGTACGTGTAATCTTTTTATTTAGTTTTAAATCTACTATATATTAATATTATAATTATTAATCTAATGATTAAAATTTAGATGACAATAACTCAGCTGAACAAACAAAATCGACTGTAGTCGATGGTAAATTTTTGTTTATTGTATTACTTTTTAATTTATTTCATTAGATAATGTTTATATCTTTAATACTTATGTTTTGTAATTATCATCAGATTCAAAACTTCAGGAACTTTCTTTGTCGACGATAGAATGAATCTTAATTGAATTAGAAGTCTTTCAAGTAAAGGCTATTATAAAAGTTCTATTTGTTTATTCTATTATATATTGTTTATATAAAATACATTCTTAAAATTTATTTTTATTTTGAGTATTAATATATTAATAATAATAAAAGCACAACATATTTTTTTTAAAATAATTTTATGATCATTTTAACACCTCTGTCTTTTTGGTCGGCATAACTCTGATCATTGCTAGTTGTTTGCTTATTTGTTCACGTTTATATTTGTTATTATTAGATTTTGACCTTGCCCGTGACCCTCCACATTTTCTTTTAGACTAAAACAGAAAGTTTAAAAAATTTTCGATTTTATTAATAGGATTATGCAGTCACGTGATTCCCGATACTATAGCAAAAACTTTTTATGCTAGGATTAGGGTTAGAAGAGGTAGCATGGTAGACAAACCTCATGGCACAAACTTCCCCTGTCTCAGGGTTAGTCTGTCTAATAAAAGTATGATATTTACTGATCACATGCACAATTTTTAATCAGTTTATAATAATTCAAAAGATTTTTATTTACTAGATCAAGGATATCTCACAATCCAGTAGTCAGAATTTGATGAAGCTTATACCATTTGATTCATTTAATTGAGACGAATCTAATGGTATAAAAATTATTAAATTCTACCTATTGGATCATAAGATATCTTCGATCTTTTATAAAATTTGATTCTCATTAAATATTGGGATTATTTTGGATTGATTTTAATAAAATGTAGGCTTTTTTGAGCTTTTCTTGTTACTTTGTTTTTTTAATGTAGTTAATTGCTAGGTTTTGAATGATCACCAAAATAAAAAGTACTTTATCGCATATAAAAAGTTAGAAAAAAATTTTTATTCAATCATGATGATCATCACCAAATTAGGGTTTGTCCTCATAGTTAGACATTCATCTGATTGGCTAATTTTTGTAGATCTACCCGTGAGTTTCCGTAATAATTAACCAATCAAATTTCATTTGAACAATTGCGTAATTTATATGTAATTTATACAGTTTAAAGTACTTTATTCAACTTTTCAAGTCATTTTAGCTTCTAAAGTGTTAATCTTTGCTATACAAAATTAATAAAAATATAACAAAGCACTTATTTAAAGAGAAAAATATGCCATGACTTACTGAACCATATGTTATTGCTATTTGCCGAAAAGCTTCGACTCAATAGAGAAGAGTTTCTGAAAGTTTTTTTTCTAAAGCCCATTCTAACCATACTTTGCCAAGTTATCTTCAATTAGACAATACAGTTTGCTCAAACTGTTATAATAACATTGTTGTAAACAGTTTAAATGAATTCAAAGAGCATTCTGAAGAGATCAGGTCTGTTGAAGCTGAAATTGAAGTTGAAGATACTAACTTTATTTTGTTTTTTTCTTAAGCAATAGAGTTGTTAACAAATATTTTATACAAGCAAGAAGTTAAAGAAAAAAAGTTGACAATATACTCATTTGACGAATTCAAGGCAACTATGGAACAGAAAGATAAGAGATTAAAGTTGTTTTTTAAGGAATTGTATTTATTATCTAATCCACTTTCTAAAAGTAAAGAATTGCAGATACAAATAAAAAAGCAGCTTTTATTCACATGTTATTTTCTTTGTAGAATTCGCAACAAGTTTGTAAATAATATAAAGAGTGATGTAGCAATATATTTAGATTATGTTGGTACATCTAATTCTTCTATAGATACTCTTGCTGATTTAGGTGTAGCAACAACATCACACACAGTTACTTGGCATAAAATGACCATATCTGAAAAACATGCTAGTACTGTTGATTTAGCACTTGCACAATATATGGAAAATGCAATTATCTTAAATATCAATGATTATCACAGCATCCATACAAAGAGAATGCCAAATACAACTACCACATCAGATGCTGCATACCTGGCAACAATTTTAATGAATCTGATTGCAACACAACCAGCAGTTTAAAAATAAATATTCACAACCCTCTTTTAGTCGATGCTAATTTATTAAAATAAATATAGCGAATAAGTTTATGAAGTTTTTTGGTTTTTTGCATAATCATCATTGGGGTTTTCGGTAGTAGATGATGATACAAGAATGAAAGAACTAACAACACATAATTATGATACTAGGTTAAAGGAAAAATGAAGTACACATTCCATGAAAGACACTATTCTTATAGATTTACAAAAAAGCGATTTTGACACTACCAATACGTATATCAAAGCTATAAATGCCATTACAAGCATTCTGTCTATGCAACAATATATCGAGAGAGAAAATGTTATACCTGTTGTTGCTGATTGGCCTGGGCAAATTTATATTCGAATAGCAATTTTTTGTTATTTATTATATTATGAATTATCAAACATTACTGACAAAATATTATTTTTTTTTCTCATTATAGGTCCTTTTCACATTTTGTTAAATAGTCAAGAACTAGTATTTCTTTAGTACTGGCCTTTTTTTTCTGCTATGAATAAGTATATCTTTGGAGAACAGAAGCCTTTTGCACAAAACCCCAAGCCATGGTGAATTAATCTTTTTTTAGAGATTTCTCGTAGTGCCTGGCAAGAGATTTTTTCAATAGTTGAAGCAAAATTTAGATCTTTGTGCAAAAACATTGAATATTTGGCACTTAAGGATCTACTTGATAATGTGATTTTACTTGTACTAGATATTTACACAGTATTCTTCTATTCTGGCAATTTTAACTCATATTTTGAGTCTTGTTTTTAGGTTTGGACTATGTTTCTTAAATTTTAATGCAAAAATTATATATAGAAACTACTTATATTTCTTTCTTATATGTTTTATTAGGAGTTAAATAACTATCCAATTCTAGATACAATTAAGAATGAACTTCCAAAATTTTTAGATTCAACGGTTGAGATATTTCATAGCTTTCTGCATAGAGGCACACAGAAGCACACTAAAGCAAATCAAATAATTAAATACAGACATTATATTAATCAACTATGTTCTAATATTAATTGGTTTAGAGAAAATTTCGTATATATATCTAGTTGGGCAATGTAACAGTATTTGGTACAAGATATAACAGCGTTGACTAAAAAAAGCACTTGTTTTCTTTTACAATATTTTTTTGAAATTTATTTTCATTTTTATCATCAAAATTCATTAATATCTCTTCCTTTACAAACAAGTTAATCTTTTAAAAAAAAATGTAATAAAAATGTTGAAACTATTCTATTAATCATGATGAAGATTCTAGAAGCACAACTATGCCATCTTCCTTTGGGTTTTAATACTTCGTGTAAACCAAATTCATCTCACTACTGTGATGCATCTAACTGTCTTTCTTTTTCTGTTAATATAGATACTATTAAAGTTCTAGCATGTGGTAATACATATTATAAATTTTGTTATAACCACAATGAATTTAAATGTATGCACTGCTTCTCATTCTTACAAGATGGCATTGATGAACACATTCAGTCCTTACTAGAAAGGCTGCGAAATCTTGATAATGGAAAGAAAAAAATAAGGAAAAAAAAGTAATTGAAGAATCAGAAAAGAATACTCCTTGTGATGATGACGATGAAGTTGAATCCATAAATTATAGAGCACTTTCATTAGAGCAGGTATTACAAAAATTTCAAAGTTAATAAATAATAATTTGTATTATATTAAAATTTTAAATCTTTATTATAATAATTTTAT